AAAAAAAAAAAAAAAAAAGGAAATACAGCATGTTAAAAAAAAAAAAAGAAAATCAGTACTTAATTTTCCATTAAACGTACACTTACCTTTTCATTTCTCTCTTTGCTATTAATATTTATTTGGCAACATTTTGTAGGTCTGATGCTCTGTATTTATTTGTCATAATACCACATTGAAAAATGCTACATTTTAGGATTTTTACTAATTCTAATGAAACTTCTACATAATTAATCTAAAGAAGCAGGATTTTACTGTATCTCACATAGAAAGAAAAATGATTGTATAAGTATAGTGAACTTACTATCTTCCTTCAACAGGTTCAATGTCAAGGGTGTTAACTCCACTGCCATGGATTCTTTCAACATCTCTGTCTTTGTTTAATTCCAGTCCCAAAACTCTTTAAGAAAAATACAAAAAGGGGAAAAAGAAAAAAATTCACAAGAAAGTAATTTAACATAAAAAAACTCCTATTTCACTAAGATTACATATAGTGCAAAAACCATAGATAATGCTTATTTTATAATACATCAAAGGTATTTATAGATTTTTAAAGACCTTATATATTAACAAAATTTTAAAATATCAACAGTAGTAACAGTTACATGCAAAAATTTTTACCTGAAGCATTAGCTTAAACTATATTTAAAGAGTTTATTTTATTAAGTTTTTAAAAAGATACTTAGAGACTGAAACAAATTTTCATGAAGTTAAATTCTTATAACTTAAACTTAACTGAGGACATCTAGTGGATAAAAGCTTAAATGACAGGATTTTTTTTTTTGATTCTCTGAAGTGTTTCCTAAAGACTTAGGTGGAAATAAAAAATGAGTAGGCTCAATTCAACAATTAAGCATATTCGAATAAATCCAATGAAATATTTATCAATACAAATGATTAACAAGTACTCTCACAAACTAAGACAAATGACTGTAAGATAGCTACTTTTTTGAAATTGTTAAAGTTTTCTTTGTGGCCAAGAACAATTTTGGTAAATGTATTATTCACTTATAAAAAAAAGTCCATTCTCCATTTAAGGGATGTAAAGTCATATATATCTATTAAATCTAGTTTGTCGTTTATTCATTTCCCCTGTGTATATGTATATACGTATTTTCTAACTGCTACATCAGTACCATTCTGGAAAAGAAAGTAGTGTCAAATTATCCTTATACTTTGCCTTATATCTTTAACTGTTCTGTTTGCATACATGTTTATTACATTAATTATTCTTCATTAATTGTGCTTTATATAATAAGGTCCTTCTTTAAAACATTTTGTGCTTTTATCCTTAAATCTCACCTTATCTAATATTTGTACTTACGTCTACATTTTCAACCGTTTGATCTTTTTATCCTTTAACTTTTAAACTATTTAAAAATATTTTAACCTAAACTATTTCTGAGAACCAGCTTTTAGTCTTATCTTATTTTAAAATTAATCTGATAATCTATGCTTCTTTACGGGAGAAATCAGTCCGTTCACTGTTGGTGTGAAATCTGATATACTTGGTATTATTTATTTATTTAAAGCCGTGCTTTCTTCTTTTACCTTTATTTTTGCTAGTTCAATGAAGTTGCTGTTCATTCCTCCCTTGTTAATTTAGAAATATCTAAAAAAATCTTTATTTAGTAGCCATATTACATATCTCCAGCTTGTTTATTATTATATATTTAGATCTAACCATATATACACTGCAAGGTTCATAGCTCTCCTGTTTCTGTCCTGTTCATCTTTTATTAGGTCATTAAATATGAAATGTCCAATTTCCAATCAAAAGTGTAATTTATTATATCTCAGACAAGAAGCAGTACAATTAATCAAAGTATGTGCCTAAACTATCATCACAGTTTTGCCATCTTAATGGTAGATTGTTTATGCCAGCAGTGAAAAAGCATGGAGAGCAAGTGGCGGTGAAATCACAAAAAGTGTTTTCCACAGCTTGTTGAAAATTGAATATTTTTCCTCGAGAGCAGTGGTCCAAAGCCTGGAAGAAGTGGCAGTCAGTTGGTGCAAGGTCTGGTGAATACAATGGATGACAGAGAGTTTCCAAGTTCAGCTTTTGTAGTTTGAGCAGTGCTGTTTGTACAACATGTTGTCTTGCAAGAGGACTGGCCTGTCTCTATTGACCAATCTTGGCTGCTTAATCACAAGCATCCTCATCGTTTCGTCCAATTGGTTGCATTAGACATCTGCTGTTTCATGAAGCTATAGCAGATAATACCAGCATTGGACCACCAAACAGACCCCATTAGCTTTTTTGGATGAATATTCGGTTTTGGACTGTGTTTTGGCACTTCATCTTGATACAACCATTGTGATGAACACTTGTGATTGTCAAAAAGAATCCATTTTTCATCACACATAACAAAATGGTATAGAAATGGTTTGCCTTTATGTCATCACAGCAAAGAAAGGCAGAGATGATTTCTCTTCTGACCCTTGTTTAATTCATGTGGACCCCATCTATCCAGCTTCTTTACCTTGCTCATTTGTTTCAAATGGTCCAATATTGTTGGAATAGTAATGTCAAAGCTTGCTGCCAATTCATGCGTAGGTTGAGATGGATTCACTTCCACTATAGCTTTTAGCTCCTCATTATCCATTTTGGTCTCAGGTCACCCATGTGGCTCATTTTCAAGATTAAACTCACCAGAACGGAACTTCGCAAACCATGGACATACTGTGCATTCATTAGCCACATCCTTCCCAAACACTTCGTTGATATTGTGAGCTGTCTGTATTGCACTGGTTTCATGACGGGACTCATATTTGAAAATGACATGAATTTTTGACTTATCCCTGGTTTCACAAAAATTGCTCTAAAAAAATTTTTGAAAGACAATCACAAGCCAAAATGTGTTTGCAAGATTGAGGATGTACCTTCACAATAAAAATAAAACAAGAAGCGTCAAAGTGAAATGTCAAGAGATATCAACTGTCAAAGTTAGTACTCAAGGAAATCGGACATTTCCTTGAGTACCTTGGTGTCCCCTTCAAATACATTTGTTCTTTGATTAATGTTCTTTCTTGAGTATTTTTTCCAGAAGGCAAAGGGGATGAAATATGTCTATAAATCTTACCACAAAGGTCTTTCTTTCATCTGACATATTGGCTAAGTTTGGATTCCTGGGTTGCGGTATTTTTTTTTCCCATTAGTAGATACTATTCCAGTGTTTCCTAGTCTCTAGAACAAATGATGAGATGTCTAATGTCAGTTTTGCTTTTGTGAATGGTAAATCTTTACTATTGGAAGCTTTTACTAATAATTTTTTTTTCTTTTTTTTCTTCAGGGTTGCTACCTGGGAATTTTATTAATAATAATTTCCTCTTTATTCCTTGATAAATTTACTGGGGTATACATAATTTTATGTCTTTTTCATCAAACTTGCCTGGACTGCAGTAAACCCTTTTAGGCTGTGAATCCTGATCTTTTTTCAAATCTTTTTCTAATTATTGTATCTCTGTTTCATTCTCCCCCTGGAATTATTATTGCCTGCTAGATCTTCTGGATCTACCCTCCAAGTCTCTTATCCTTTCTCTTATGTTATTGGACTTTTTATTCTTGCTTTATAATTTGAGGTATTTCATTTGATCATCTAGTTCATTATTCAATACTTCAGTTCTGGGTAAGATGGGTTAGCAGACTTCACCCATTTCCCCAGTAATATAACTACAAAAACTAAATAAAATGCATGAAATAGCTACTTGAGGATTCTGAAAAGTAAACAGCAGCATGCAGTTTGGGGGTAAAACACCAAAATTTAATGTGCCACTGAACCAGTAGTCAGTGTTATTTCCACACCCCCCACTCCTCCTTGGCCTGAATTTTATTTAGCCAGAAACATAAAAATGAGCACTGTGGCACAGATGGAAGAGTTTAGGAGAGAAAAGGGGAACTCCAACACTCAGTGAGAATGCAGAAATCACTGGCATGTTCTTTCCCTCTTTTCTCCATTCCCTTGTGGTCCAGCTTCTAGGTAATCCCATTGCAGAGAAGGCTATGGCTGGAAACAGTGGCCTACAGGAGTCAGAACTCTGAGAGAGAGAAATTGTTTTCTGCATTCGTCAGAGCTCTGATCCCAAGAAGGTAGGGCCAATCCCCATTGCTTTTTACTTATCTTTTACCTCTGAGCCCAGATTTGGGTCTAAACATGGAAGTGTGTGGTAGAACAGGTAACCAGAGCCCAAAGTTTCTAACTAGAGGATCAAAACAGGGAGTCCAGAGAATTGGGAAGTATCTGAGAGATCACAGAGAAGAAGGAGCTCAGGAAAGTGACTCCATAAAGTTGTTTATAAACTCCAAGACTCATCGCCCAGTGGAACATGCATGGATCTAACCCTGAGGAGCATACAAAGGATTTTGAAAATTGAACTAATAGACTACCACTCAGGTCACACACTTACCACTGAGTGGCACACACTTGGAGCAGATCTGAGGAGGCTTTGAAAAGTGAACTGATGTTGAAAGAATAGTCCATATAAGAATGCAGGAACTTGCAGCCTGAACCTAATCTTGCCAACTGTCTGTTAAAACAAAAATATCAACATTCCTCATAGAATTAAAACAAGAACCAAAGTCTCATAAGAGTATTCAAAATGACCAGGATGCAGTCCAAAATCACTCTGTACACTGGGCGCGGGGGCTCACACCTAAAAGCCTAGCTATGTTAGTGCCATTGTACTCCAGCCTGGGTGACAGAATGAGACCCTGTCTCAAAAGAAAAGAAAAGAAAACAAAAAATTACCCTGCATATGAAGAACCATGAAATGTAAACTTGCATGAGAAAAGGCAATCAATAGAAGTCAAAGTTGAAATGACACAGGTATTGAGATTATCTGACAAAGACTTTAAGGTGGCCATTATAAAATGCTTGAGTAATTGTCAAAACACTTGAAACGAATGTTAAAATAGAAAATCTCAGCAAGGAAGCAGATATAAATAAGAACCAAATGGAAATTCCAGAACTTTTCAATATAAAATTATTTTAACTTAGTGGACTCAATAGCTGATGAGAGATGACAGATGAAAGTCAGTGAACTTGAAGACAGATCAATTAAAAGTACATAATCTAACAATATAGAGGAAAAAAGATTGGGGGGAAAAAGAACAGAGCCTCAGAGACTGGAGGAATGATTATAAAAGGACTAACATTTATGTCACTGGAATTCTAGAAGGAGAGGAGAAAGAGTGTGGTGTCAAAAAATATTGGAAAACATGGCTAAAAACTTCCCAAGTTTGTGGAAAGATACAAATCTACAAATTCAAGAAGCAGAATGAACTCTGACTAGGATAAATCAAAAGAAATTCACACCCAGACACAATATAATCAAACTGCTAAAAACTAAAGACAAAGTCTTCAAAGCAACCAGGGAAAAATGACAAATTACCTATAGGGAAACAATGATTTGAATGGCTGCAGATTCCTTTTCAGAAACCATGAAGCCATCAGATCCACTTTAAAAGAATTGATAAACAATGTTCTTCAATTTATTATTAAATAAAACAAAACCTTATTTTGGAGGAATACAATCAAAATAAAACTAATTCAGATTTCTGTTGTGAAGTTGCACAAGCATGAACTCACTCATATATAAACACAAACAACTGACAAAGTATACAAAAAATAAGCATACAATGTGTGTAAATATCACAAAAAAGGGCAAATCACAGAAAAGGGAAATGATGAAGAAGGAAACTTGAGACATGAGGAATGAAGAAAAAGCAACAGAAATGGTAAATATTTGAGTAAATAGACTATTTTTTTCCTTAAAATGTGTTTGGTGGTTAAAAAAATTTGTAACATTGTCTGATGGGGTTTTTAAATGTACATAAATATTAACATATAAGACAAAAATATATGGCAGAGGGTAAAGGGTGATAAAGTTTCTATATGCCAAATGAAGTGGTAAAATAATGATTCTATGTAGACAATGGACAGTTAAGTATATATTTTATAATTCCTAGTGCAACCCCCAAAAACCATTATATAAAGTTGATATAATCAAAATCACAATACATAAACTAAAATGGAATACTAAATAATGTTTAAATAACTCAAAAGAAAGCAGAAAGGGGGACATAAAGGATATGGAGCAATTGGCACTTTCATCCATTGCTGGTGAGAATGGAAAATGCTTTTGGAAAACTGTTACTTTCTTAAAAACATGTATCTAGTCATTCCACTGCTAGGTATTAACCTATAAGAAATAAAAGCATATATCCTTACGAAGACGCATGTATGAATTTTCACAGCAGCTTTATATGTAATAACAAATAACTGGAAACAACTTGAATGTCCATCAACAAGTGAGTGGATAAAAAAAATTGTGGTATATACATACAGTGGGATACTCCACAGCAATAAAAAGATACATGGAATAACAGAGAAATTTCAAAATACTGTAATTATGCTGAGTGGAAGAAGTCAGACAAAAAATGACTGCATTTATTTAAAATTCTGAATATTCAAACTAATCTATAGTGACTTAAAGCAGATCAGCAGTTTTTAGAGTAGGAAGAGTAAAACAGAGAGAGTAGGGAGGGAGGGATTACAATGGGTCATGACAACATTTTTAGGGTTATGGATGTTTGTTCCCTTGATTATGGTGATGGTGTCAAAAGTGCATATATGTCAAAACTCATCAAATTGTATATTCTAATTTAATGTGCAGTTTATTGTGTGTCGATCATACAATAAAGTTGTAAAAATTAAAAAACGGTGTTAATTGTGAACACTGAATATCAGTGTTCATGGTTTGGCCTTTACCCGCTGACAAAGAACAGTAGACCTCTGCTTTGAGTAAAATGGGACTGTATAGTTGTTCAGTTAAGTAGAAACATGATTTAAAGAAGGAAATATTTAAAAATTTAAAAAACTCCTTAAATACTTTATTAACTTAAATATGCAAGCTGCCCTCACTTTGTATAGTCTGATTTACATGAATTTCAGTTACCACAGTTTAATTAAATAATACCAGAGCCCTAATCAATGTGGCTCAAATTTTGGTTACCACAGGTTGCTAGTAGCTTTTCAGTCCACAAATCACTACACATATAAAAGTGGCTCATAATTAGTGACCAATTTACATGACTTCTTTCAAAATCTATAGATGATTGATCAGTGTGCATCTGTTGTTATTCAATTCACACACAGACTACAAAGCATGTAGGTCTGTTATCTCTGTGCCCCTGAGATAAACCCAGATGAAATTTTATGAAAATAGGTAATTAAAAGGGGGAATTGGCAAACAAAATGAAAGTGCACCAAAGAAAAGAACAGTGCTGAAAGTAAAACTCAAATTGAACATAAATGGAGTTAAAGAAATGATAGCTGACTGTGGGAATGTTGACACTGCTGCCATTTAAGAAACTCTAGCAGACTGAGGAAATCATTGAGGGTAAACTTGTTGACATAAATGAGGAAAAGTGGTTGTGATGAAAGGATGGAGATATCTCAGAGAAAGTGACACTGGGAAAAGAAACTTCACATTAAAGGAACTCTCAGAGATATTTCATAATGTTGAAAACGTAAAGAATGCTGGAATGTGATATCTAACTTTTTCCTAAGCATAGAACTCACATATGCAACTCTGTCCTCCACTCTTCAAGTGAATATCTTTACAGGTTCCCCACAATCAACACGGGTAAAATTAAAAGTAAAACTTACTTCCCCTTTAGAAAACCCTATCTGAGAGGGTATCACCAACCTTCAACTTCCTATACAAGATTCTTATCAGAGAAAAATTATTCATTCCTCCCTTTTCATCATTCACTTATCCAACCAATTTCCATGGCTAGTTGATTATATTTCTTAGATATTTTCAAAACTTCTTCAAGTCTCTGCCAACTCCATCAAACCTGGCCCAGGCTTCCATCAACTCTCCTCAATAATTGCAATTGCAACCTAACTTGGCCCTCTTGCTCTTAACTTCAAACCATTCCGTAAGCAGAAAACAAAATGCGATAGCTGTCACCTTATTCTTATCTTCTTATCTCTTACTCAAGCACACAAGGTTCTTCCACATCTAGCTTTTGTCTACTCCAACTGCATCTCTTGCCAATGGTCCCTAACCCCAATCCTCTTCTCTAGTCATTCTGAACTTTGTTCAATTCCTGGCCTATGTCCTACCCTTAATATACTTCCTGGCACACAGTAGGAACTCACTAAATATGCTGACTGAATGAATGAACGAATCCTTGGAGGATAGTTATTCCTTTGGAGAACTTAATATGAGGGAAAAGGAATACAGTAAAACGAAAAAGTAACCTCATTTTTGTTTATAGTGCCTTCACCCGGGCCCGCGGGCGCACCCACCCGCCTACAAGTTAACAGCATATAAAAGGCATTGTATTTTAGAAAGCCGCACAGGAGAAGAGAGAGTAGATACGAATTTGGTGGAACGAAAGTGAGACGAGAAAATGTGGGGTAAGGGTTACAAACACTGGTCCAAATTCTAACAGGCTTGTTAGAGAAAAAGGTAAGGTTTTCTTTACCTCCGTGTGGACTCCGCTCTCCGGAGGCAAAGAGGGTCCTCCAAACCCGCTTGCCGCGCAGACAAAAACCCCAGCATCGCGCTCCTTCACACCGTCTTGAGCACAGGACGCCGCCATGATAGAGCTCAGAACGGGCTGTAACAGCAGAGTCTCTCATTGGCCAAGCGGTGATAGATGCTACCAATGGAGAGCGCTGTTACTGGAAGGACGCGAGGACGGAGGCGGGCTGGATTCCTTGGAGCAGTGGGCTGAGTCGGCGCCTAGAGTATTCCTCCAGCTGCTGCGGATCGGTTTGCGACTCGCGCTGGGAGACTGGCGGACGGTATGGGTTGGTCTCAGGGTTTGTTCCGCGCCTTGTGGAGAGCACTATCAAGAGAAGTGAAGGAGCACGTGGGCACAGACCAGCTTGGGAACAAATACTACTATATCCCGGAGTACAAGAACTGGAGAGGTGAGGTGAGAGCGAGGGCAGCGGTTGCGTGGTCAGTAAATGAGGGAAAAGTAAGAGTGTCTCGTTAAGTAATGCATCCTGCGACACTCACGGTGTCACCAGAGGGGATATACCGAGTTCGTTTGCCCCGCCCGCCCCCTTCACTCTGGAGTCGGAGCCCTGCCGGGCCTGGCTCTGAGCGCCTTTCCTTGGACTGTTTTGCGCAGCGGCCCGTCCTCGCTGTGCCTGCGACCTGGTGTGCCTGGGGCGGTCTGCGCGAGAAAAGGCGCACACCCCTTTTCTCCCAGCCACGCCGGCGGAGGACGCCTCGGTTTAGTTCGGGCCATTAGGCGAAGTAGACGGGGAGAAATTCACGGAGATCTTTTACCAAAGAGGCTCAGGAGTGACAGGGAAGTGCGTTTTCATGCGCCTGTGCCCCACTTGTGGCCCAGAGCTGAGCGGTGTAATTGAAGAAGTGTAACTTCAGCACCTCGGCTTTCCAATTTCCTCGTGTTTACCTTTTTTGGGAGCATCTTGGCTCTGGCGCTGTCCCCATGTGTCACCTTCCTCACAGCCAAAACTTGTCAGAAGTACGAAATGGTACAGTCATTCCTGAAAGTGTGGAAAAGAGATCCCCACAAGGCTCCCTGTTTCTTTTCTCAAAAGTGTGCATTCCAAGACCCCGTTGAGCTCAGTTTAAGAAACATGACTCCAATTGTGGTGTTTCTATGAAGGATTCTACCAAGTACTGGAGCGGGTTGTTGGGGGAGTTAGGAGGCGTTCCTGTCGGTTGAAAATGAAGCACCTGGCAGCTGTTATAACCTCTTCTGTGTTACTGGATCACTGCGATGCAGAAGATGTCAGACTTTGAACGAAGAAAGGCGTGGGTTAGAATCTCAGCTTTCACATCTAATAGCTCAGGGATCATGGACAAAGTAATTATTCTCCCCAAGTCTCATTACCCTCACTTGAAAGTTAAGAGATAATAATAACAGTAATACTAAGAAGCACTAAGGCATTTCCAAAATTGTGTGCTATTCATTTCCCATACATATAAAACTGTATTCTATGATTTCTCACTTGTTTGCCTAGCCTTTTTCTTTAACTTATTTTATAATCATATTTAGACTGGTTTCCCTGATGAGCTTCTACACTCTGTCAGGGCAGGGAATATGTCTTTAAAAAACAAAGCCTACAGAGAACCTAGCATGATGTTAAGTATTATTATAATTGACAGATTGCAAGCAACTTTTTCATAAGTTGTAACATTAAAAATGCAAAATGTCAGATTGAGGATTTTAATTGAACTACAATTTTTATACAGTAACATTTACCCTTTTTGGTGTACAGTTTTATGCTGTTTGACAAATGCGTAAAGTTGTGTAACTGTCACCACAATCAAGGTAATAGAATAGTTCCATCACCCCCAGAATTCCCTGCAACCCCTTCATAATTCATTCCCACACCCCATCCTTACCCCTTGACAACCACTGATGTGTTTTATGTTCCTATAATTTTGTCTTTTCTAGAATATCATATAATTGGAAATATACTAAATGTAGACTTTTGAGTTTGGCTTGTTTCACATAGCATAATGTGGTTGGGGTTCATCCATGTGTCAGTAGTTCTTTTTATTGCTTAGTAGTAGTTCATTGTATGAGTTTACAAGTTCCTCTCTTCACTAGCTAAAAGACATTTAGGTTGTTTCTAGTTTTTGGTAATTGTGAGGAAATCCTCTGCATGAAGGAATGGGATGCTGGGTTGTGTGGTAAATGTATGTTTAACTTTTAAGAAACTACTAAACTGTTTTTCAAAGTGACTGAACCATTTTGTATTCCAGCTAGCAATGCACTAAAGTTCTAGTTGTTTCACATCCTCACCAGCACTTAGTATTGTCAGGTATTTTTTTTGGGTTTTTTTGGCCATCATTATAGGTGTATAGTGATATCTCACTGTGATTTTAAGTTGCATTCTCCTAATGACTGAGGACGTTGACGATCTTTTCATGTACTTATTTGCCATCTATAGATCTTTGAAGTATCTGTTCAAATCTTTGTCCATTAAAAAATACATTTATATCAATTTTTTGTTTCATTTCAATGGAAATATATTATTAAAGGTTTAAATTAACAAAAACATGTCTATCCCCCAATAACATGAGTATATTTATTTTTACATGTTCTCAGGCATTCGTTTGAATATTCTCATATAATTTAAAGGCATTTTTGAGAGTTTTATTGAAGTATAATTGACATACAAAAAGTTGCCAATGTTTAAAATGTATAATTTGATAAGTTTTGACATATGTATACGTCTGTGAAATCATCAACACAATTAAAATAATTAACATATCCATCATCCACAAAAATTTTCTTACGCCCTTTTCTAATCCTGCCTTGTGCTGCTTCTATTTCCAGTCTCTAAAAAACGACTCATCTGATTTCTGACACTATAGATTAGTTTGCATTTTTTAGAATGCTATATAAATGAAAGCATATAACACGTGTTCTTTTTTTTTTCTGGGATCTTCATTCAGCATAATTCTTTTGAGATTCATTCATGTTTTTGTGTATACCAATAATTTATCCCTTTTTTTGCTGAGTAATACTCCATTGTATGTATACACTATAATTTGTGTATGTATTCATCTGTTCATATGTTTTTTTTTCGATTTTTGGCTATTACAAAATAATTATGAAGATTCATGTATATGTCTTTGTATGGGCATATACTTTCATTTCTCTTGGTTAGATATATAGAAATGGAATAGCTGGGTCAACTTATAAGTATACGTTTAACTTTTTAAAAAACTGCCAAAGTGGCCATACCATTTTACGTTCCCACCAGCAGTGTATGAGGCTTCCAGTTATTCTAGATCCTCATCAACACTTGGTATGGTCAGTCTTTTTAATTTTAGCCATTCTAGTAGGTGTGTAGGGGTATCTCATTTTTTTCCCCTTTGGTTTTTTTTTTTTTTTTTTTGGCTATTAGTAATTTGTTTTTTTATATTTTATTTTTAAATTAAAATATAGTAAAATGAAATTTAAAGAGACAAGCTCTTACTGTTGCCTAGGGTGGAATGCAGTGGCGTGACCACAGCTCACTGTAAGCTCAAGCTCCCCTAGGCTCAAGCAACCCTCACATCTCTGCCTCGCAAAGTGCTGGTATTTCAGGCTTGAGCCACTGTGCTTGGCCCAGTAAAATTAACTTGTTAAATTGGTGTACAGTTCTACACATTTTAACATATATAAAAGATTAATGTAACCACCACCAAAAGCAGGATACAGAACAGTTCTATTACCCTAAAATAACTCTTCCATGCTAACTCTTAGTAGTCATACTCTCTACCCATTCCTAACCCCAGCAACCACTGATTTGTTCTCTGTCATTATAGTTTTGTCTTTTTAAGAATGTTGCACACATAGAGTCATACCATATGTAACCTTTTGAAACTGGCTTCTTTCATTCAGCATAATTCCTTCGAGATTCATTTCAGGTATCAGTAGTTCCTTTTTACTACTGACTAGTGCTTCATGCTATGGATGTACCACAGTTTGTCCATTTATTCATCTGAAGGACATTTGAGTTACTTCCAGTTTTTGGTGATTATGAATACAACTGCAGGAAAAATTCACATACGGTTTTTTTGTGAACATGAGTTTTCATTTTCTATGAGTACATACCCAGGAGTATGAATACTCCATCTTACTCTGTAAAATGAAACTAACAATACCTACCTAGCCTCACAAGATATGTTTGCTACTCAAGAGAGACAAACAGGATAATGTAGCTTTTGAGACAATGGGATTTAATGTCAAGATCAATGAGTTAATTTTTGGAGACCTTGTACTTGGTTCTTTGATTTCTTTTATCAATGATTTGTAGTTTTCTGAATAGTGATATGTTTTGTTAAATTTATTCTGAAGTATATTATGTTGTGTGGTGTTATTATAAATGATGCTTTTAAAAAAATCTTAATTTCCAGTTCTGCATTACTAATATATAGAAATACAATTGATTTTTCTATGTTGACCATGTATTCTGCAACTGCAACCTATTTTACTTGTTAATTCAGGAAGCCTTTTGCAGATCCTTTGGACATTCTTTGTAGGTAATTTTGTCAATTGTGGCTACAGACAGTTTTGTTTTTTTCCTTTCTAACTTATTTGCCTTTTATTTCCTTCTATTGCCTGGTCACACTAGATGAGATCTCCAGTATAATGTTGAATAAGAGTGGTGAGAGTAGATACCTTTGCCTTGTTCCTTATTTTAGGAGGAAAGCATTTGGTCTTTTTTTGTTAAGTGTGACGTTAGCTGTAATTTTTTAGATGCCCTTTATAAGATTAACAAAGTTCCCTACTATTCCTAGTTTGCTGAGAGTTTTTTCTTTTCATGAATGGATGTTGAATTTCGTCAAATGCTTGCTTGCCTTTTTTTGCTTCCGTTGAGATGCTCGTATGGTAAATTAATGGTATTGATTAATTTTTTAAAAACTAATAGATTTTATTTTTTAGAGCAGTTTTAGGTTTACAGAGAAATTGAGTGGAAACCACCCAGATATTCCCTCTTCCTGCACCCACTGCAGTTTCTCCCATTATTAATATCTTGCATTTGTGTTCTCTCCCTTTCTCCTTCCCTATGTCCCACCAAACCCCTAGTGACCACTGATTTTTTTTTACTGTCTTCATGGTTTTGCCTTTTCCAGAATGTCGTATAGTTGGAATCATACCATATGTAACCTTTTCGGATTGGCTTCTTTCACTTAGTAATATACATTTAAGTTTTCTCCATGTCTTTTTGTGGCATAATAGCTCCTTTCTTTATATTGCTAAGTAATATTCCTTTGTATGGTTAGAACCACTGTTTGTTTATCTATTTGCCTATTGAGGGACATCTTGGTTGCTTCCAAGTTTTGGCAACTATGAATAAAGCTGCTATCGATATTCATGTGTAGTTTTTTGAGTGGACATAAGTTTTCAACTGATTTGGCCTTGGTTTATTGTTGAATGTTTTGAATGTTG